TACCTCTAACGTGATCTAAAGTTACAACACTCATGGGTTACTAGAGAAGCAATGATCAGTTAGTTAATCATTAACTCTGCAAGGAACTCAGAGACTCCTTTAGAAACAACTGTGGGGAAAACCCCGTGTTAAACCTCCTGCAATGTACCTTCAGTTATTTTTCCTTTCTGTGTCAATTATGTCATGGAGGCAAAGTATAAGCATTGCAACTAGTATCCATTGACAGTTTAGTCCTCTGTGAATTTGCCCAAACCTCTTTTAACACACTCCAGCCTTTCATTTTGCAGTGAAATAACCATTGGCTTAAGGAGATTCAATATCTTTGTATTTCAAGAATATTAAACAGTGTCTGCAACAGTCCCTGTTTTATTTTTATTTTTCAATGAAGACGGATGCACCCTGAATTAAACTGATGTGTGTTTGTTTTCATGAGGCTCATTTTAAAACCACCTCTTGACATTTTAGTCCACCTCATTTCCAAGTTAAGCCGTAATCTGTTTACAAGGTTCTCGGCAAAGGCGCTCCCGTTCTTAGAGACTCTTCTGTGAAGGTGAAGGTCAGACAAATCTGCAATGGAACATTTGGTTTTTCATTGGCCTCCCTAGTGTGTTTTCCTTTTCACTGCCTTTCATTTTCTTGGCAAAATGTCTGTGACATATCAGTAAGTCATTTTCAAACTTCTTCATGCACTAGTATTTCTGCTTCGAGATCATTAATAAAACAGCAACTTTGGAAGCTAGCACTACAGGTGTTCCAGTATGCTAGCAGGGAGGGAGTCTGTCTGGGGTTTTTTGTTTTTTCCCTTTCCCCCTGACTTTTTTTTTCTTATAGAACCACTAGCTGGGCTGAAACTAAAGCTCATAAAATAAACAGCAGCATATATTCTGTAGAGAAGAGGCTACGAAAATAATAATAATAATGCACAGTATGCTTGCTGTGGAACAGGCTCTGTGCGCTGAACTTCTTATGGAGAGTGAGGGACAACCATTACCCTGGAAATTTAGCCCTTACAATCTTAAAGGTCAACAAAATAAATCCCTTTCCCTCCGCCTCTCTCTCTTTCTCTCTTTCTCTCTGAGGCTGGCAAGGCATAAACAATTAGTTGCTCTCCATAAAACTCCATATCCATTACACTCCGTTTGGAATATTCCGGAGGGCGCTCTATGGGACATCATTAGCATGTGGATTTCCTTTGGCAGAGATCATAAAGAGAGCTTTAAGGACTAGAAGAGGGAAATATCCAAGAAAGATTGGCAGGCAGAATGTCGCACAAGCCATTCTTGCAACAGGACAACGCAAAAGTGTCTGTGCCTGTTAACTCTCCGTCTTTTTGATCCTAAAATCTCTGCCTTCACATAATCCTATGCATTTGGTTTTTCTAAGCCCATTTTAATATTTCTCACCTTGATGTTCTCACTGAGCTATTTCATTTTGTCCTCTTCTCTCTTTCCCCCCTTTTTTGATTCCCCCCCCCCTTTTTGGTTTAATATTAATACAAACATATTTGGATTCCTCCATCCCCTTCTTTTAGACCAATTCACAGGTTCACAGACATCTTCACTTCAGCACCTTTTTCTTTTAATCTTCGTAGTCAAATCTAAGGCTGCTGTCAATCAAGCACCCACCTGAAGTATTATGTCTTTCAGACTGCTGCTTCCCCTGAAATGGAATATGAAAATTGAGCTCAAAGGAGCGGGGGAGGGGGTTTCTCTTTCTGGAGCCCAAGCAAAGCTCCATCTGTCTGTTCTAAAAGTATTCCCCCACCCCACTTGAAAAACTAAACCTAGTTTACAGCCAAACCTGTAGTTTGACTTACCACAAAATGGTCCTTGAGAGAGATAAGGTGAATATTTTAAACAATTGTGATTGAATGATTTATTTTAGCATACTTTTCAGCCATACAAATCAAGGTCAAGCTTAATTTTAATCAGTTTTATGATTTTAATACAAGTGGCCTTCACATAGAAATTAAATCAAATCGGTTGTATTCAATGTGAAATTAAGTCATATTGTTGTATCCAATGTAGAGCTAAGTAGTGCTTTGCATGAATGAAATGACTTCTACTTGTGCAATGGAAATCCCCCTCCCCCACACTTCCCCCCCTAAATCTGTTCTTGGTTTCTCCCAACCCTCTGGAGAAGACATGAGGAAGGTGCAGGACATGCATGGCAGGGGTGGGGGAGTGCTGTTGCAAAGTGGAAATCATTCTTCTTGTGCATTTATTCAGATGAATACCACCCAATGAATTTGATGAATGAAGATTGACCCAGATGAATAGTTCAAATCACTACAATTACAAAAGAATAAGAGAGACTTCTGACTCCCCTGCAAAAAAAGGATATTATTTTAGGAGGCTAGATGACTTGTTCAGATTTCCTACAGTTTTGCATAGGCATAATAGAACACAGAACATAGATATACTTTTATTAATATATATTAATAAATATATTAACATGTGATCTATTTTAGTAATATACTTATCAATTATATTATTATACTTTTAATTATTATTATAATTAATCTTTATTAAATCATTTTATCCCATATTTCCCCCACATGTGTCCCTAATTTGGTTTACAATAATATAAAAATAAAAAACAATATTTAAAAATCAAGATATAGTAACAAGAATAATCCATGGGGACAGAAATTTGTTATACTATGTGATGCTATGCTATATTAATATGGTGTGGAATATTTACATTTACTGGGGGTTATTAAACAATTCTAGGTGGCTGTCTCAAGCACTCTAGCCATGCAAGCTACATATTGCTGACCTCAGTTTGGTTAGAATTTCATAGGGCAAAATTAACTGAATTTCGTTTTCAGCGCAGTGAGAAAAACATACCAATTAAGTTTGTAAAACAGATCGAGCCACAGTTCTAATTTCAAGTACCATTGCACAACACATCTCAGCCTCTTGGATACGCTTGGCTTTGACAGGGCCTTCCACTGCACTGACAAACAGTCATTCAATCATAGGGACAGAAGACTCTTCTAGGCTCATCAACTCCAGCCCTCTACAGTGTGACTGGATTCACTAGACCTAAACCATACCTGACAGATGGTTTAGCTACTCTCTGCTCAGAAGCCTCCAGAGAAAGAAACTCAAAAACTTCCTTAGTCAACTTGGCATCTTCCAACAAACTCAGAAAGGAGGGGCTGGTGTGACGAAGCCTTAAGAGAAAAGTCAAACCACCAAGCGGGGGGAAATGAACTTACCACATTCTCTCTCTCTCTCTCTCTCTCTCTCTCTTTCTGTTTTCATCCCTCCCCCCTTCTTTTCCTTGAGGTTCAATCAAACACTGATTACAGAACAGTTAAGTTGATCATGACAACACCTTGAGGCAAAGGTGGAAAAACCAGTTAAGCAAATTCCATGAATATCGTCACTGTTCCCCATAATTCTAGCTGGTGACAAAAGCAACTGCTGGGAAGCTTCTGGTCTGCCTTGACATCTTGAACACTGAAATAGCAGAATCCCAGGTACCAGGAACCCTGGGAAATGTAGTTCACCAGGCCACTTCCATACTTAGCATGGACATCAGGCATGCTTGAATCTATGCTTCACAACTCCTTGCATCTGTGATGCAGCCATACACACACATGTTCCTAAGGCTGATGAAGGACTTGATAAAGGACTGAACATGCTCTGTAATCTTAATTTGAACATTAATGTGCCCAAGGATCCCAAGCGAATAGAACAGAACAGAAATGGACCTTTATGTACTTTATAATGAAATGGATTGTAGTTTATTGTACCTCATGTACTTTATGAATTGTGCCCTTGCACTTTATAACCCAGGGCATATTTAAAATAGTTTATATTTTAACTTTGATTTTCCTTTCTTTTTCTGACATTTTTTTCCCTTTCCCTTTTCAAGTATTCAGCCTAATTATTGTTGTTTCTCTTTTTCACATCTTTGCTGTGCTTTCCACTCTACTGCCTTGAATAGAAATAAGTCAACAGCCTCTCTCTCCCCTCAGTTAAGTTTGATTCAAACTTTCAGGCCTAGGATGGTTGAGTGGGTTGGAAATCAGGGACGTGCTCCCCCAACCATAGCTTAAACCAAAGCTGAAGTGTTTCTTACCCTTTGTGAGGAAAGGATTTTAAGAAGTATCTGACACTGTAGACAGGTTTATGCAAACAACGATGCCCTGTGCTGCTGAAAAATTATGCTGTATTATACACCACTGCGCTTAAATCTCAACAATTCATTCCTCGATGCAAACTTACTCAGTTTGTAAGCCATGAAATACTGCTTATATTTTCAGAACATCTAGTACTTGGATGTAGTTGGACTGTTTGCATGACAGATATCCTTCTTTCAGCAAGGCTGCCGTCAAAAACATACATGAGAGTAAGTCCCAGTGAATATTGAAAGATTTGATTTTTGTTATGGCTTGTTGTTAGCAAGGAGGGAACTTAACTAACAAGCCTGGGTTTGGCGAACAGACTGAGTCAAACCTTGCTTTAGTTCAGCATGGTCCAGGAATAATAATAAAAAACTAGGAAGGAACAACTAACAACTTCCATTCCAGAAATCTCCACATTATTGTGGTCCCTGTAAGCCTTAGTTTGTCTTACCATGACATGAGCAAAAGACCATTGACTATAAAGTCTGAGCCTCAGCTTCCAATCTCTTTCTTTCTCCTCAGCTTCCAATCTCTTTCTTTCTCTCTCTCTCTCTCTCTCTCTCTCTGTCTCTGTGTGTGTGTGTGTGTGTGGAAACAAAATTTAAAAAATCCTTCCAGTAGCACCTTAGAGACCAACTAAGTTTGTTATTGGTATGAGCTTTCGTGAGCATGCACACTTCTTCAGGGATGTGTGTGTGTGTGTGTGTGTGAGAGAGAGAGAGAGAGAGAGAGAGAGAGAGAGAGAGAGAAAGATTCGTTTCTTGTATGACAAGTACATAAAATGTGAGGGCAAAGATTTATACACAGGTATGTGTGTTTTTTTATTTATGGGTATAAAAGTTTAAATTAGGTTTTTTGCTTATTCTTCAGATTGTCATCTTTGAAAGGTTAGTGATGATGTAATGTTTAACTATAACTTTACATCACCACTAACCTTTCAATTATGACAGTTTGAAGAATAAGTAGACTCTTTCAGAAGTCTATGCCCATAAATAAATGAGCAGGTATGTTCAATGTAAATATATAAATATAATTTTATAATAGTCCTTTTTCTTTGGATAGTTGTCCTCGCTGAAAGGTCAGCAATGATGAATTGTAGTTTGTCACTGAATGTAAAATGTGCACCGTACAGTTCTATTATTTGCTGTGAAAGAAAACATGATTTATTAAAGCATCAAAAACATTTGCTCAAAGGCTGCTGTGTATGAAATATTTAGCTTGCATTTAACCACAGTCCTTAAGAGACCTGGTGTGTGTCCTCCTGAGGTCACAACTGAGTCGATCCATAGCTCCATTTGACGATCCAGCAAAAAACAGCATGGTATCATCTCAACTGTCCCTATTTACCATGGACAGCTCTATTTTATTGGCACCTGGTCTACCCCTGATAAACCCCTGTCCCAATATTTGTACAGAGGTGGCTTTTGACAAGTTTATGTATGATGCTGAGATTTATTCTTCAGGGCTCATTCCCCAAGGTCTGTAGAATGTAAACGGTTGAATGGGATATGCAGATACAGCTTACATCTAGTAAATGCACATGTGTTAACACATGCTTCAGCTGTCAATGTATGTTTTAACCTCTTGAGAAGCTCTTGTAGCATCAGTAGGTTGGATCCAAGGATGCCTGTCGATTTGCAGAAGAGCTTTTGGTTTAACAGAGGCCCTTTGCAGGGATACCCCATTTGCCCTGCATTGCCACCTCCCCTCCCTGCCCAAAAAACTGCTCTAATAAGTTGTGAGCTCTCAAGAACATGAAGAAAGTGAAAATGGGTGAAAATAGTCTTCCCTCCCTTTCCTGGAAGTCCCCTCTAGATCCAAGACTTTTCTGCGAACTGAAAGATGACTTCCATTCCCTTAAGTTCTTGACATTTACAGCAGCTCTACAGGATTCCTTCAGAGTTCCAGGTCTACTCAGTTTCATGGAGGCAACTCGGCGAGTCTCATTATACCTTTTTAAACAGATCCGTATGGTTCCTGTGGGGTTTATTTGCATGGTGTTAATCATCATCTAAAGATTCACAGGTGGTTTCCCTTCCCCATAGGTTATCTCCAGTGTCCAGAAGCAGGTAGTTGCTCCACTAACAATTCTCTGTTTTGATGCTCTCTGTCTTAAGTCTGCCTCTCCTCAGCTTTCTATGAGGTCAGAGTAAAGTTCCACCTATAGCTCTGTCATTGGTGACTGCTACTGTATGGAAGTGAGAGCTGGACCATTAAGAAGGCTGATCGCCGAAGAATTGATGCTTTTGAATTATGGTGCTGGAGGAGACTCTTGAAAGTCCCATGGACTGCAAAAAGATCAAACCTATCCATTCTTAAGGAAATCAGCCCTGAGTGCTCACTGGAAGGACAGATCCTGAAGCTGAGGCTCCAATACTTTGGCCACCTCATGAGAAGAGAAGACTCCCTGGAAAAGACCCTGATGTTGGGAAAGATGGAGGGCACAAGGAGAAGGGGACGTCAGAGGATGAGATGGTTGGACAGTGTTCTCTAAGTTACCAGCATGAGTTTGACTAAACTGCGGGAGGCAGTGGAAGACAGGAGTGCCTGGCGTGCTCTGGTCCATGGGGTCACGAAGAGTCGGACACAACTAAACGACTAAACAACAACAACAACTATTGTGCTTCTTTCTGCCTCTGATTGCCTTTTTTTATTCTCATTGCCTTATATGCAGGTAGGGGCTGAGTCAACATCTTCAGGCTGTTTCTGCAGCCACGCTCAGCCAGATCTGCCCCAGCTGCGTTCCCACCCAGTGGTGTCGGACCTAGCAACTGCCTCCCAATGCCTGAATGTGTATGTCTGTTTGTTCTAGTAGTCGTTATAACTCACTGTTCAACTCAGAGGATCCCAGGGTGAAACACAACATTTCACTAAAATGCAATATAGCAAAAGCAAATATACCATGCAAACTAGAAAATCGTAAAAGAGCCACCCAGCAGCAGACAAACCAGTTCTTCAAATCAGCAATTTCCATAGCTCCAGGGAGAAGGGAGGGGGAATAGTCATCCCAATCTCCAGGCAGTGTGAGATGCAAGGGTTTCCAGCTGCTTACCCAAAGTTTGTGTTTACTTTTGGAAATGAGACACAGCAGAGACGGTGGTGTCTTTATGATGTATGGTTTATTTACATATACATACAACTTGAGCCTGTGATGGAGGGGTTCAAAGCATTACACTCCAAGAGCATCCCGTCTCTCCTATTGCTGCAGTCTCCAATTCAAAACAGGCAACTACATTGTGCTCTGGCCCCGCTCTTGAGCTTGCCGCATTTAACCTACTGACACCTTTTTCCGCTAGATCACATTTCAGCAAAACTGTGATCTAAACCTCTACTACTACTGGACTTTGTCTCTGCAAACTAACACAGAGCTCAGAGAGGAGGGCCCCCACCCTTCTGTCATCCTTGCTAATAGCTCATCAGCCTTCCCTTGTTCTCTTAACAAATTTGCCATTCTCAGGCTGGCCTGGCTATTCAAACAATATTCAAGCTGTGGATTCACAGAGCTTGTTTAAATTTTAATCCTTTACTGGTTCCAGGAACCTATGGGGGTCTGCCCCCCAACCCACAATGCAAAGTATGTCTTGACTAGGGATGCTGGCAAAATACAATTTCATTTGCATTTAAATTTGAACCTTTCTCATTTGTGCTTCCTGAAACAATATATGAACCAAAACTCAGCCATCCTTTGAAATCCATGCTTCTCAACATTTTGCCACACAGTTTCCCTCTGCAAACATGAATATTTGGCAAAACTGCATAGAAATATGTGTATATTATGAGAAATTGGTTCAAATGCTGCTGAGTTTTCATGAGGACATGCTTTTTTAAAAAAGCAAACTGACATGGAAATGGCAGTGGGTGGAAGACCTATAATATGTGTGTATATATATAGATATCTATTTTGCTACCATAGCTTTCTAGAAACATTTGTCCTGATTCATTAAATAACTATAGAAACATGTGTGGAAGCAGATTCTATTTGCTCCTTCCAAGATGGGCAAGGAATTATACACACTAACTCCATGTGCAATTATCCTGCTGCTACTGTATACACATAGACTAAAAGCCCACTGGTCAGCTACATAAGAGGGAAATTAGTCTCCCTTTCTCATCCTATCCCACCAACCAGGTGAGCAGCAGGATTCCAGGATTTAAAAAATATATTGTTACGTATGCACACTCTATGCAATATTGGAGCCAATACTGGTTACCACATGAGTATTTACCCTTTGCGATGTGTACCCAGGAATTCCATTTCAGGATGGGTACTTTATGTACAAAGGTCAGAGCTAAGGCTACTAAGGGGTTAACACCTCCCCCGTGTTTTCCTGATGTAATTCAGGGTATTAACACTGGGTTTGTGTGCAGAATAAGATATAACTCCAAGCACAGTAGATGCTTTGTTTTTTCCACACTCTTTAATGATCAAGCTAATCAATAACGTCTTTTTCATTTATTAGACACTGGGAAAAAATTCTTGTTAACTTTCAAGAACAAAATACTGCAGGTGGTGCCTCTGTTTGTTTAGAATATAAGAGCATATCGATCAAGTTTCTTAGTCAAAAGTTAGGCAGCTCATTGTGAACAGTTGTTGAGATTTGTGGTTTTACTCACCTAATCTAAAGCAAAAAAATATTAAACTCAGGTCAATAGTATGGATCGCTCCCTTTTTAACATCTTGCTCAAAGAAATACAAATAAATGCATTTATATCCATTTGCAATATAGATTTATGTATTCATTTTTAATGTTTCAGTATTTATTTTTATAGCGGTTGATCTGTTCGGTCCTTTCTTACATTATTTAGCACTATTAAATATGAAAGACAAATCTGAATATATATTAAACTGTGTACCTCCAACATACTCAAGGGGATAAGGGTTTTTCAAGATGATACACACCCGTTGGCAGCCTTGTCTGGTTGTCCTTGCAGAGGAACTCATCGCTTCTTAGCCATGTGAGCTAAGAACAACTTTTCAACAGAGGCCCAGTATTACAGAATGGCTCCCAATGTCTTACTCACCTGTGTTCAGACCTACTAGGACTATTAGATACAGATTAGCTAGCTATCAAGTTGGTGGGAAATAGGATGCTAAACTAGATAGACTTTGGCTTTGATCCAACCCTTCTTTTTGAGAAAAAAACCTGTGAAAACTAATCCCTTTTCTGCCAGCCTTTCTGGACATGCTTTAATCTTCTGTTTACACTGTTCTGCTAATCACTTTCAGCTGTGCTCACTCTGGCTTCAACAGAGTTTTGATAAACAATTGTCTTACTTACTAATGTTTCATCTAGCCCAGCACTGTGTTTCCAACACCATCCAGCCAAGATGGCTCTGGGAAGTTCACAAGCAAAGTGTGAAAAGGATGGCCTTCTTTTGTTGTTGTGTAAGTAACATATAAAGACATCACCTTGCCAACAAAGGTCCGTATAGTTAAAGCTATGGTTTTCCCAGTAGTGATGTATGGAAGTGAGAGCTGGACCATAAAGAAGGCTGATCACCGAAGAATTGATGCTTTTGAATTATGGTATGGAGGAGACTCTTGAAAGTCCCATGGACTGCAAAAAGATCAAACCTATCCATTCTTAAGGAAATCAGCCCTGAGTGCTCACTGGAAGGACAGATCCTGAAGCTGAGGCTCCAATACTTTGGCCAACTCATGAGAAGAGAAGACTCCCTGGAAAAGACCCTGATGTTGGGAAGGATGGAGGACACAAGGAGAAGGAGACGACAGAGGGCGAGATGGTTGGACAGTGTTCTCGAAGCCACAAACATGAGTCTGTGGGAGGCAGTGGAAGACAGGAGTGTCTGGCGTGCTCTGGTCCATGGGGTCACGAAGAGTCGGACACGACTAAACGACTATACAGCAACAACAAAGTAACATATAAGGATGTTCCAACTGAATTTCCTCCTATGGTGATCGTTGTTTCAATATGAATGTGGTCAGCCCCATCATACC